AGAGAGATAGAGAGTTAGAAACATTGATGAGAGAGAAACATCGATCAGCTGCCTCCTGCACATCTCCTACCGGGGATGTGCCCACAACCCAAGTACATGCCCTTGACCAGAATCGAACCTGGGACCTTTCAGTCCGCAAGCCGACGCTCTATCCACTGAGCCACACCGGTTTCGGCTAACTGTGATTTCTTTACTTCTGCCTGGACAGGGACTCCTGGGTGAGGACCTTGCTGGCACCTGTGCCTAAGTGCTCCCGGGGTCCCAGGATGAAAGGGTTCACCTGGTGTAGGATGGGGAGGGGGAGAAGACACAGGGCTTTGGATTGGTTGCCAATTCTTGCTGTCTCCGCCCAGTTTTCCAAGGAGAAGTACATCCTGGACTCATCGCCTGAGAAACTACACAAGGAGTTGGAGGAAGAACTCAAACTCAGCAGTACAGATCTCCGCAGCCATGCCTGGTACCATGGCCGCATCCCCCGAGAGGTGAGTGGGCTCGGAGCTGGGACCTCATCGCTAGACCCTTCCCCCACTGCTCAGCCAGCCCCAGCCCAGAGAGGCTCTGACTTAGCGCGTGGTGGGTTCAATCACAGGGGACTACTGGGATGGGGTCTAACTATGTCATTCACTGACTGTGCAACCTTGAACACGTCACTTGACCTCTCTGAGCCTGAGTTTCTTCATCTATAAAATGGAGGATAATAAGAGTACCTACCTCACAGGGCTGTTGTGAGAATTAGATTAAATAATTCAGATAAAGTGCTTAGCATGATGTCCGACATACAGCGAGCTCAATGAACATTGTCCTTTGTTGTTGTTTTTTAATGTTATAGGGTTTGTACATCAGCCTCCTGTGTGTTTGGTTAGTGAGTATCAGTCCTTAGGCTACTCAGTTTGGGCAAAGTTGAGCTTCTAGGCCAGCAGTCGCCAACCGGAAGTCCACCGACCATGGGTAGTCCGTGGGTTCCAAAAGGCTGGTGACCGCTGTTCTGAGCTGAGGCTCAGACTGGGGCAGATGGTCCCCTGTTTCCTCTCTCAATGGCACTGTAAATCTTTATCAAGAATCAACTCTGCCAGGCCCTGTGCTGGGCTCCAAGGAGGCAGAGGAAGCAGTGGGGCTGGTGGTCCAGGGCAGGCGCTGACAGGAGGCAGTCAGAGGCCAGAGGGAGAAGTGCAAGAATGAAGTGCCTAGCGGGGAATGTGGGGGGGCCTCAAGGAGGGGCCATTGTGAGATGGATAGGAGTTCACCAGGTGGGCAGTGTGGGCAGGATGGTCCAGGCAGAGAAAGCAGTGGGGGGGGGGGGTACCCAGATATGCCAGGGCCTGGACTGTGTGGAGGAGCGAGGATTGGGAGTTCAGTCTGCCCAACGTGAGCCCTGAGGAGGTGTAGGTGTGAGACCTGAGTTCCCCAGACCCCCTGTTCCCGTGACTTCATCCAGGGTCTTATGGCCTGCCTCTGGGCCTCTGGGCCCCTGGGCCTCTGTGGCCCCCCTCTGCATCCACGTCATTGTGTCCCCTCCCAAGAGTCAAATATCTCTGTCCACTATGTCCCCAAGACCCCAGGTCTGACCCTCTTCCCTTGCTCTGCCCTGCCTGCCCCTGCCCCCCTGCCCAGCGGGCGAGAGCTACACCCACATCCAGTACCTGTTCGAGCAGGAGAGCTTCGACCACGTGCCCGCCCTGGTGCGGTACCACGTGGGCAGCCGCAAGGCTGTGTCGGAGCAGAGCGGCGCCATCATCTACTGCCCCGTCAACCGCACCTTCCCGCTGCGCTACCTGGAGGCCTGCTATGGGCTGGGCCAGGGCGGGGGCAAGGCTGCCGGGCCTGCCAGCCCCGCGGGCCCCAAGGGCAGCCACATGAAGCGGCGCAGCGTCACCATGACCGATGGGCTCACCGCCGACAAGGTCACCCGCAGCGATGGCTGCCCCACCAGGTAAGCAAGGACCCTAATTCTGCCTCAGTCTCTCCGTTTGTCAAGTGGGCGTGTCAGTCATGAGCGTGCTGGTGAGAAAGGGGAGGCCGGGCACACTGACCTGGGGAATGACTGCCCTGGAGCCTTAGCGCCATGTTGTGCGGTACAGGGCTTACTCAGCCCCAGGAGGGGCGGGGGGCGGCCTGGCTCTTGCCTCTCCCTCCCCATCTACCCCCTCCCCAACTACCCCCTTCCCTACCTACCTCTCTCCCCTCCCCACCTACCCCCTTCCCCACTT